GCATAATAATACCATGCTTTTATATAGCACTTTTAACCAGTAGCTCGCAAAACTACAAAGGAGGTAAGTATCATTATCCCCCTTTTACAGAAGGTAAAACTGAGGCACAGAGTGGAGAAATGACTTGCACACACACACTCAGGTCTCCTGAATACCAGTACTGCTTTATCCATCTGCTAGGGCACAAAGCCACCAGATGCACCCTTACTGGGAGTCATGCTATTGCAGAGTGTTTTGCTAGTTCTGTTTATCTGAATGTCTAAGAGGTCCTGGAGAAGTGCTTATTGTCAGCCATTAGATAATGACTGTATCACTGGTTCTGCCTAAACTCAGCTGGACATCTCAAAAGAACAGGCCCCCTATTTCTAGTCAGGCTGGAAATACTGTTAGAATAGGGTCTTGCACAGTATTTCCTCTGGAGGAGCAACATACATGGGGCCACATTCATTAGAGGGAATTAAAGGAACATTAATAATTGGGAGCATGATAGTTAAAGTTTGAAAAAAATGAGAGATTCAAGAAGGCCTTGGAAAAATTAATGCTAATTAGTCTTAGATTCTGCCGTATGTTAATGGTAGTGAAATAGTCACCCTCTGGATTGGCAGGAAAGAAATATTATTTCCTGCTAAGTCTACTTTTTTAAAAACAGATAGTTCTTAAAATGATAAAATTCTATTAAAGAGGCTATTTAATTCTATGTTTCTTTCCAATTTTATTTAAAGAGGATGAAGGAATTACCTTTCAGAAGAATCATAATAACACATCTTCCTCCTCAAGTCCTGCCAAAATCTATTTTCAAAAGCAAGGCCAAGGTGAGTCCTCATTTACAGTATTGTAGAAAATACCCACTGTAATGGCATTTTCAGACCCGTTTGGATTTCCTCTATGTTATATGCAGGGCCTTGTGTTTTCTATGATTCCATCTAGGTTTTATGGTTGTGAGATAAGATTTCTGCATGTGAACTGATACAGTGTTATGTACTGGGATGGCAAACAGCTGAAAGAATAGCTTTAGGTTGGAAGTAAACTGGCCCCATTCAGCATGAATACTGAAACCTAATGCTGACAATTTAAATGTTTACTGTTTCTCTGCTATCATTTCAGCAGAAATATCCTGCTAATGAGCTTTGCCATTCCTTATTTTTCAAATAAGGCAAAATTAATTAAACTGAATCTACTGATGCTGTGATTGTTAAACAAATATAAACTTTTTCTTACCTAATTATTGTTAATTATTTGTATTACCATAGTGCTCAGTGTGCTAGGAAAAGTACAAACTTTTTTGTATTAACTTTCAACCTTTAAACAAATAATTCATTTACTTATGTTTTTTAGATACTGCTGCTAGTTCGAAGTCCAAAAGACACTGCTGTATCTTACTTCCATTTTCACAACAATATGCCTACACTTCCCCCCTTTGGCTCATGGGATGAGTATTTTGCAGCTTTTATGCATGGAAAAAGTACACTCTGTTTTTCTGTTTTTTTTTTTTTTAGCTACTCTGATTAATTAGTGCATTGGCAAAACTGGGCACTGGGATTCAGGAAGACGTAGGGCAGATTCTGATCTCAGTTGTATTGTTATAATTCAAGAAAAGCTTCTTGGTCTTAAAGTTATTCTAGATTTATAAATGATGTAATTGAAATCAGACTGTGACCCCTGAAATCAAGAATTCATTTACTCACTGACTCAGACGGGTTCTGCTTTTTTGAATAAGTCATTTACCCTTTTT